AAGTTCCAGATGTGACGCTTTTCTCCTGGCGGCGGCGGCGGATGAAAGCCCCGGGGTGGCCTCCTCTCCGCCCGGTGCCTGGCACCCTCCTACCCAGTGACTGGCGCACACAGACGCACAGATCTTAACCCTCTCCTGACCACGACCGGCAACCAGCTGTGTGCGATTCTCCACCCGGCACGTGTGAATGGGGGGCTGCGAAGTTCTGTAGGCGGCCATCCCTGGGGGGGGGCGGCTGATACCGGCTTGGCCTCCCCAACCCCCCCCTGCACCCCTTAAAGGAAAAGCGGCTTACCTGGTGGTGCGGTCTGGGGTGTGTGACACTCCTGTGCCCTCCTGAGCCTGGCGGACAGAGCGAGGAAGAGGGAGAGGAGGAGGAAGGAAGGAGAAAGAGAGGGAGAGCTGGGTAACCACACCCTCTGGGTGACTCAACTTCACTGCAAATATCACAGACCTGACTTGTACAGAGAGGAGGAGGAGGAGGAGGGCCATGTGCAGGCGGCAGGGAGGGAGCGCAGTGAAGTCACAGCAGGAGACAGTGGTGAGGCCCGTCGAAGAACAGGCAGAGCAGCAACATAGGGACACACCCAGATCTAACTAATCCACCACACCCTCCATGCAGCTGCAGGACAGGGACACCCAGCTTCTCTGCTCACATCCTGCTCTGACAATTCAGGCACCTGTCAGGGCAGCTGCTGGGGGACAGAATACCTGGGGCCTACAGGGAACTACAAGTCCCAGCCCTACACAAGAGCTAACAGAGGGCGATAGCTGCTGTGGAACTACAAGTCCCAGCCCTACACAACCGCTAACAGAGGGAGATAGCTGCTGTGGAACTACAAGTCCCAGCCCTACACAACAGCAAACAGGGCGATAGCTGCTGTGGAACTACAAGTCCCAGCCCTACACAACAGCAAACAGAGGGCGATAGCTGCTGTGGAACTACAAGTCCCAGCCCTACACAAGAGCTAACAGAGGGCGATAGCTGCTGTGGAACTACAAGTCCCAGCCCTACACAACAGCAAACAGGGCGATAGCTGCTGTGGAACTACAAGTCCCAGCCCTACACAACAGCAAACAGGGCGATAGCTGCTGTGGAACTACAAGTCCCAGCCCTACACAACAGCAAACAGGGCGATAGCTGCTGTGGAACTACAAGTCCCAGCCCTACACAACAGCAAACAGAGGGCGATAGCTGCTGTGGAACTACAAGTCCCAGCCCTACACAACCGCTAACAGAGGGAGATAGCTGCTGTGGAACTACAAGTCCCAGCCCTACACAACCGCTAACAGAGGGAGATAGCTGCTGTGGAACTACAAGTCCCAGCCCTACACAACAGCTAACAGAGGGCGATAGCTGCTGTGGAACTACAAGTCCCAGCCCTACACAACCGCTAACAGAGGGCGATAGCTGCTGTGGAACTACAAGTCCCAGCCCTACACAACAGCAAACAGGGCGATAGCTGCTGTGGAACTACAAGTCCCAGCCCTACACAACCGCTAACAGAGGGCGATAGCTGCTGTGGAACTACAAGTCCCAGCCCTGCACAAGAGCTAACAGAGGGCGATAGCTGCTGTGGAACTACAAGTCCCAGCCCTACACAAGAGCTAACAGAGGGCGATAGCTGCTGTGGAACTACAAGTCCCAGCCCTACACAACAGCTAACAGAGGGCGATAGCTGCTGTGGAACTACAAGTCCCAGCCCTACACAACAGCAAACAGGGCGATAGCTGCTGTGGAACTACAAGTCCCAGCCCTACACAACAGCAAACAGAGGGCGATAGCTGCTGTGGAACTACAAGTCCCAGCCCTACACAACCGCTAACAGAGGGCGATAGCTGCTGTGGAACTACAAGTCCCAGCCCTACACAACAGCAAACAGAGGGCGATAGCTGCTGTGGAACTACAAGTCCCAGCCCTACACAACAGCTAACAGAGGGCGATAGCTGCTGTGGAACTACAAGTCCCAGCCCTACACAACAGCAAACAGAGGGCGATAGCTGCTGTGGAACTACAAGTCCCAGCCCTACACAGCATTATTCAGTTGTTGTTTTTTAATGACCCTTTGCTCAGCAGCTACTGTGGAACTACAAATCCCAGCACTCCAAGTCATTATTTACTTAATCATTTTTTAGCTGACCAGTCCTATCTGTTTCTTTTTTGCTGCTGTGGAACTACAAGTCCCAGCACTCCACATCATTCTTCAGTATGTTTATATGACCCTTTGCTCAGCAGCTGCTGTGGAACTACAAGTCCCAGCACTCCACATCATTACTCAGCAGTTCTTTTTAATGACCTATTGCTCTGCAGCCGCTGTGGAACTAATAGCCCCAGCACCCCATGTCATTATTCTGCAAATCTTTTTTTTATTATTTTAATGACTTGTTGCTCTGCAAGCTGCTGTGGAACTACAAGTCTCAGCACTCCACATCATTATTTAATCATTTTTAGCTGACCAGTCCTACCAGTTGTTTTTTAGCTTCTGTGGAACTACAAGTCCCAGCACTCCACACCATTATTCAGCTATTTTTCAATGACCCTTTGCTCAGCAGCTACTGTGGAACTACAAATCCCAGCAGTCCACATCAATATTTACCTAATCATTTTTTAGCTGACCAGTCCTACTTGTTGCTTGTTATCTGCTGTAGAACTACAAGTCCCAGCACTCCACATCATTACTCAGCAATTCTTTTTAATGACCCTTTGCTCAGCAGCTACTGTAGAACTACAAGTCCCAGCACTCCACATCATTACTCAGCAATTCTTTTTAATGACCCTTTGCTCAGCAGCTACTGTAGAACTACAAGTCCCAGCACTCCACATCATTATTCAACTGGTTTTTTTTCTACTGACCTGTTGCTTTTTAGCTGCTGTGGAACTACAAATCCCAGCACTCCACAGCATTATTCAGCAATGTTTTTAAATGACCTATTGCTCTGCTAGCTGCTGTAGAACTACAAGTCCCAGCACTTCACGCCATTATTCAGCAATCTTTTTAATGACCCTTTGCTCAGCAGCTGCTGTGGAACTACAAGTCCCAGCACTCCACATCATTACTCAGCAGTTTTTTTAAAGACCTATTGCTCTGCAGCTACTGTAGAACTACAAGTCCCAGCACTCCACATCATTACTCAGCAATTCTTTTTAATGACCCTTTGCTCAGCAGCTGCTGTAGAACTACAAGTCCCAGCACTCCACATTATTTACTCAAGCATTTTTTAGCTGATCAGTCCTACCTGTTTCTTTTTTGCTGCTGTGGAACTACAAGTCCCAGCACTCCACATCATTATTCAACTGTTTTTTTTCCTACTGACCTGTTGCTTTTTAGCTGCTGTGGAACTACAAATCCCAGCACTCCACGCCATTATTCAGCAATCTTTTTAATGACCTATTGCTCAGCAGCTGCTGTAGAACTACAAGTCCCAGCACTCCACATTATTTAATCATTTTTTAGCTGACCAGTCCTACCTGTTGCTTTTTAGCTGCTGTGGAACTACAAGTCCCAGCACTCCACATCATTATTCAGCAATTCTTTTTAATGACCTATTGCTCGCAAGCTGCTGTGGAACTACAAGCCCCAGCACCCCATGTCATTATTCTACAAATCTTTTTTTTATTATTTAATGACTTGTTGCTCTGCAAGCTGCTGTGGAACTACAAGTCTCAGCACTCCACACCATTATACAGCTAACAGAGGGCAATTCATTGATAGCCGAATAGTCAGCCTGTTGCTTTTTAGCTGCTGTGGAACTACAACTCCCAGCACTCCATGTCATTATTTGCTTAATCATTTTTTAGATGACCAGTCCCACCTGTTGGTCTACAAACTGCTGTGGAACTACAAGTCCCAGCATGTTCTTTATATTCATTAATACATCAAAAATGCCACATTTTTCACTCCATAAGACGCACCTAGGTTTTAGAGGAGGAAAACAAGAAAAAAAATATTCTGAACCAATGGACTGCAGACATAGTACAGGAAATGACCAGAGACTGCGGACACAGTACAGGAGATGACCAGAGACTGCAGACACAGTACAGGAGATGACCAGAGACTGCAGACACATTACAGGAGATGACCAGAGACTGCGGACATAGTACAGGAGATGACCAGAGACTGCGGACACAGTACAGGAGATGACCAGAGACTGCGGACACAGTACAGGAGATGACCAGAGACTGCGGACACAGTACAGGAGATGACCAGAGACTGCAGACAGTACAGGAGATGACCAGAGACTGCGGACATAGTACAGGAGATGACCAGAGACTGCGGACACAGTACAGTGACCGGAGGCGGACACAGTACAGGAGATGACCAGAGACTGCGACATAGTACAGGAGATGACCAGAGACTGCAGACAGTACAGGAGATGACCAGAGACTGCGGACATAGTACAGGAGATGACCAGAGACTGCGGACACAGTACAGGAGATGACCAGAGACTGCGGACATAGTACAGGGGATGACCAGAGACTGCGGACACAGTACAGGAGATGACCGGAGACTGCGGACATAGTACAGGAGATGACCAGAGACTGACCAGAGACTGCGGACAGTACAGGAGATGACCAGAGACTGCGGACATAGTACAGGAGATGACCAGAGACTGCGGACACAGTACAGGAGATGACCGAGACTGCGGACATAGTACAGGAGATGACCAGAGACTGCGGACAGTACAGGAGATGACCAGAGACTGCGGACACAGTACAGGAGATGACCAGAGACTGCGGACACAGTACAGGAGATGACCAGAGACTGAGACTGCGAGACCATAGACTGCGGACACAGTACAGAGATGACCAGAGACTGCGGAAGTACACAGTACAGGAGATGACCAGAGACTGCGGACACAGTACAGGAGATGACCAGAGACTGACCAGTACAGAGATGACTGCGGACACAGTACAGGGGATGACCAGAGACTGCGGACACAGTACAGGGGAGAGAGACTGCGGACCAGTAGGAGATGACCAGAGACTGCGGACATAGTACAGGAGATGACCAGAGACTGCAGACACGGTACAGGAGATGACCAGAGACTGCGGACACAGTACAGGAGATGACCAGAGACTGCGGACACAGTACAGAAGATGACCAGAGACTGCGGACACAGTACAGGAGATGACCAGAGACTGCGGACACAGTACAGGAGATGACCGGAGACTGCGGACACAGTACAGGAAATGACCAGAGACTGCGGACACAGTACAGGAGATGACCAGAGACTGCGGACATAGTACAGGAGATGACCGGAGACTGCGGACACAGTACAGGAAATGACCAGAGACTGCGGACACAGTACAGGAGATGACCAGAGACTGCGGACATAGTACAGGAGATGACCGGAGACTGCGGACATAGTACAGGAGATGACCAGAGACTGCGGACACAGTACAGGAAATGACCAGAGACTGCGGACACGGTACAGGAGATGACCGGAGACTGCGGACATAGTACAGGAGATGACCGGAGACTGCGGACACGGTACAGGAGATGACCGGAGACTGCGGACACGGTACAGGGGATGACCAGAGACTGGGGAGACCTTTGGGGAGCGGGTACCCAAATGTGACAGGTACCCGCTCCCACTTCCGCTGCGATCGCCTAGGTAATCGGAAGCAGAAGGTGTCCTCCCTCCCCGTAGTCTTCTGGTACACATGACAGGTCCCAGAAGACTAGGGGCCATTCACAAAGAGCAGCACTTCTCGCACATGCTCAGTGGGCACCCGGCTGTGAAGCTGCAAGCTGAAGATGCTGGCACCGGGGAGAGAAGACGGCCAGTGAAATAAGCGGTGATGAGGACACCGCTGGACCGAGGAACAGGTAGGTACGAGGAGCAGGTTCTGCTGCACAGAAGAGCCGAGCGGCGGGCCTAGTATTCTAACACGGTGGCGGCGACGGGGGGAATACCTGGCCGGGACCGCTCAATGAGACGCACAAACATTTTTCCTCATTTTTTTGGGGGAAAAAAGTGCGTCTTATGGAGCAAAAAATACGGTACATTGCTTTTTTTTTTAAACGCAGGGAGTGTCTACATTTACCCTGTACAGCAGAGCTCATACTAGGAGAAAAGGGACCGGCACAAGGAGCCAATCAGGTGCGCTGCAGTGCTCATAGGAAGCATGGTGGGAGAAGGAGAGGGCATAGAGAGGAGCTCATCACTCTGCTGCTTCTCCTTTCACTGTCCAGTCACAGGCTGGGGGAGGGACAAGACCTGTAAGTGTTATTAGAGAGAAATGAGGTCTCCTGCTCTGCCAAACGAGGCCGTGCCATTCAAAATGAGTGACACCAAAATGGACTAACACGTGACATGCGTTCTTGCCATGCGTAAAACACGTCCTTCTTGTTGCAGCTGCCTTTGTGGTCCAGTGCTTAGCAATGCTGCCGTGCTTTGTTCATACTTTGGATCCAGTGGTGTATTTAGGTTTTGTACTGCCCCAGGCAACACAAAAATCAGAGCCTGACACCATCCAACACCACCCCTGCCCCCCCACCCGAGAGAGCCTTCCACTAATGCCTCCCCCAACAGAGAGAGACTCCCCTTCACAGCTCCGGACATTCCGGGGAACGAGAGTTCCATCAAGCAGCCCGCAGGCTCTTTCAGATCCCACCTGGTCCCCATTCTGCATATGTCCCTTCTACCTGGGGTGGTGCCGCCCCCCTGAAAAATGCCGCCCTAGGCAAATGCCTTGTGGTAAATACGCCCCTGCTTGTATCCACCTCCTCAGAGGCGGACTGACCACTTGGAAACTCGGGCAGTGCCCGAGGGCCTGGGGTCAGTAGGGGGCCCTATGAGATGCCCCTGGTACGTTTTTCATAGGCTTTTTTGAGTTTGGGCAAGGACACAGGGGCCCCATGATCCCCTATTGCCCGGGGGCCCCGTGAGTTGTCAGTCCGCCCCTGCACCTCCTATACATTTATTCTCTCTGGACTGAGCTGGATTCTTCACACTACTCAGAGCATAGGGAAGGCTAATTGGCTTCTGAATGATTCGGCTGCCGAGTGTTTGTATACCTGGGAGGGACAGAGGAGAGTACAACCTCCTCCGGGGAGCGGACTGAGGTAATGGTCAGACTCTGCTGAAGTGTCTAGGAAAAAAAAAATATATCCGCAATACATCTCCGCACAACGCGCGCGTCTCTCCTCTTCTGAGGATCCTGGCCCTGGAAACAACAATTTAAGTCAGCTGCTAACTTTTAACCCCTCCCCCTCCTGAGGATTTACCCCCCTTCCTGACCACGCCTCTTTTTTTGTACTCGGCGCTGCACTAATTCAACTGATAATTGCGCGGTCATGCAATGCTGCACCCAAACTAAATTTACGCCCTTTTTATCACAAAATAGAGCTTTCTTTCGGTGGTGTTTGATCACCTGTGCGCTTTTTATTTTTCACGCTATAAACAAAAAAAAGAGCAAAAATTTTGAAGAAAAATGATATTTTTTACTTTCAGCTATAAAGAATATATAGTAAACTCAAAGTTGGTTATAAATTTAGGCCAAAATGTATTCTGCTCCATGTTTTTGGTAAAAAAAAATCCCAATAAGTGTCTATTGATTGCTTTGTGTGAAGTTATAGCGTCTACAAACTATGGGATAGATACTGCAATTTACCCCATTTTTCTGCTATACAGCGCTGCGCTAGTTTAACGGACAATTGCGCGGTCATGCAATACGGTACATAAATTCAATTTACATCCTTTTTTTCCCACAAATTGAGCTTTCTTTCGGTGGTATTTGATCGCCTGTGCGTTTTTTATTTTTTTGCGCTATAAAAAAAAAAGGCTGACAATTTTGAGGAAAAAAAAAAACAACATTTTGGACTTTTTGCTATAAAACATGTTCAGTAAAAAAAAAATTAAAAATCAAATTTAGTCAGAAATTTCTGCCAAAATGCATCCTGCGACATCTTTGCTAAAAACAAAACACAATACGTGTAAATTAATTATTTTTTTTTTAAGTCTGCAAACGTGCAAACTACAACGAAAAAACCCGTAAGTGAATCACAAAAAAAGTGCAAGTGCAAAACACCACACGAAAAAGTGCACTTAGGGGTGTGCTGTGTCCTACCCCTAAAGGGGCTTGGACCGCTTACCCTGATCCCCCGGGGCACGAAGCTCCTGACGGGGACAAGGTTTCCCAATTGGTCCTCCTGGCCAAAAGGCCTGGTGGACCACCGTTCCTTGTGTCCAGCCGAAGCCGGACATCCAGTACTTGGCCAGGGGACTCCCTCGAAGAAGAGTCCCCTAGGGATCAGGGGAGGAAGGAACCAAAAGGCCACACATCCTCCCCCCTAGACTTCAGGGTAGGCCCGAGGACCCACACCCTCCATCCAGTGAAAACACACACATAAGAACAGAAAAAGTGACAAACGTGGGAGGTGTTAAATTAAATAAATAGAAAATTAAAAAGTGGTACCGTGCCAAATTGTGCACAGACCAGGCCCTGAGGCCCGTAGCAAAAATTGCCCTGGTCCTAGCCAAAAGGCCTGGTCCTTAGGGCGCTGTGCAAAAAGAGTGTAAAAACAGTGACCATGTGCCATGTTCACACAGTGGGGTCCCACACCCAAGTGTTACTAGTGGCACCCCTGAGAGCGTCTACTCAGGGGGCACCGAGTTTGCGGACTTTCTGCCTCCTCAGCCCCTGGCCAGACCAAGGTAGATCCGTCCAAATCAGGAGGTACTGGGTCCTTCCAGTTTTCCCGGAGGAATTACTCCCAGGGCCCCAGCTTAACGTGTGGCGCTCCCCGGTTTCTGTCCCTCCGGGTACTAGCCTTCCGGACCCCCATCATACCAGTGAGGGTACTATACAACAGCCATCCCCGCAAAGCTAGAATGGCCGGGAGCACCCCCACTGGACACTGATAAGAACAGATACTACACTTGATCTTAGCCAAAAGGCAGAGAAGCGATGCGTGTAAATTAATTGGTTTACGTGAAAGTTATAGCGTTTACAAATGGCGGGAAAGATACTGGGATTTAAAAAATTTTTTTTAATACTAATAATGGCGGCGATCAGCGACTTATGGCGGGACTGCGGCGGACATTCTGACACGGGGGGAACTGACTTGGGGTCACTGACATCCCCAGTGACACCAATACAGTGATCAGTGCAAAAAAATACTGGTCTCCCCGGACCCCGCATTCACTATATCCGCTCTCCCCGGACCCCGCATTCACTATATCCGCTCTCCCCGGACCCCGCATTCACTATATCCGCTCTCCCCGGACCCCGCATTCACTATATCCCGCTCTCCCCGGACCCCGCATTCACTATATCCGCTCTCCCCGGACCCCGCATTCACTATATCCGCTCTCCCCGGACCCCGCATTCACTATATCCGCTCTCCCCGGACCCCGCATTCACTATATCCGCTCTCCCTGGACCCCGCATTCACTATATCCGCTCTCCCCGGACCCCGCATTCACTATATCCGCTCTCCCCGGACCCCGCATTCACTATATCCGCTCTCCCCGGACCCCGCATTCACTATATCCGCTCTCCCCGGACCCTGCATTCACTATATCCGCTCTCCCCGGACCCCGCATTCACTATATCCGCTCTCCCCGGACCCCGCATTCACTATATGCGCTCTCCCCCCCGACCCCGCATTCACTATATCCGCTCTCCCTGGACCCCGCATTCACTATATCCGCTCTCCCCGGACCCCGCATTCACTATATCTGCTCTCCCCGGACCCCGCATTCACTATATCCGCTCTCCCTGGACCCCGCATTCACTATATCTGCTCTCCCCGGACCCCGCATTCACTATATCCGCTCTCCCCGGACCCCGCATTCACTATATCCGCTCTCCCTGGACCCCGCATTCACTATATCTGATCTCCCCGGACCCCGCATTCACTATATCCGCTCTCCCCGGACCCTGCATTCACTATATCCGCTCTCCCCGGACCCTGCATTCACTATATCTGCTCTCTCACAGAACATGGAATTGCAATTATTTTAGTAAATATAAACTGCTAAATACCTTTTCCCATCAGCAGTATATAGCAGTCTTGTGACGTCTATCAGTGTCCAGCAGAATACTAGTTAAAGTTTGCAGGAGAAGTTTTCACTCTCCTCTCACTGTCTTATGAGACTACAGGACCCTTGACTTTCTGTCTGGACAGTGCTGATTGGCCCTGTGCTGATCACATGCACTCTCCCAACAACAAGAAAAAAACTCTTTAGCAGTACACACCAAACAGCATGTGCAACTTGCCCCCAAGGCTTTGTTCTATCAGGAGATGAGTTGGGGACAGTAGAAGAAGGGGAGGATCTGAGAAAACAGGATCAAACATACTTTTTTACACAATGCAGATTATTAACCCCTTAGGTTCCACAGTGAGTATACCAAGCATACTTTACTGCATCTACAGACTGATTTTATTGTTGTTGTTTTAGTACCTCTTTAGGCTTTAGTCACTGTTGTGGGCTGACAACACAGCAATTGTGTGGACTGAGTGGTGTCAGCCTTGCCCAGTGTTGATTGCTAGATTACTCTACCACTTCCACTCTCTAGAACATAAATGCCAGTCATTCTGTAGTACAAGATAAGATCTAGCAGGGCTCAGGACGTCTCTAAAATTTCTGGTCGGATCCACGTTTTGCGCTTATAAAACAGATATAGGAAATTGCTCCCAATTATATATTTAACAGAACAAATTGGAACAAACAAGAAGAGTTCAATGTTGGGGTTTA